GGGGAAGGCTGGAAGCAAGGGAATGAAAAATCTTCTAATTCTTTGGTTACTCATCCGCAGCAGCAGGTCCATGAACAGCTGGGACAAAATCACAGCTACCTCTTGGGTGAGTGAGGTCTGACCATGAGTTGTCATTCATCCGTTCTACAGAGATTTACCCAGTACCTTCCGGGTGCCAGGAACACACACGAGTAAGCAAAATCAGACCCAGCCTCCCTAGTCACCTAGTGCCATGACTGCTCTGCCATCACCTAGTAGTTTCAATCCATCTTGCCTGCCCCTGCTGAACCTGTCTCCCCAACCCTGGAGCCCTGGCTTGGTGACAAGGAAAGAATGCAGGCTGTCCCATCCGACAGACTCCCACCCACCAGAGGTCACTGCTCACTCCCAATCTCACTCTGCCCTGCTGTGTCACAGAATGACCAAAGGTGGGACAGGGATGGGGGAGGGGGCCACGGACAACTTTCCTGGAATTCCTGACTCAATTTCTTGTAAGCTCTGCATCCTGCATGGGTGTCCAGGTCCCCAGCCAGGCAGGCGGACGCCTCTGATCGCATTACAGAACTGCTTTCCTTGGGTGTTGTCTCCTGAAGGCAGTAATGCCTCCTGACACCGCTTGTGGCCTCTGGGGGTTGCAGGCTCCTGGGTGATCTCAGCAGAAGACCCCCTGGGGATGCCTCCTGGGTCAGGGCAGGCCCAGGTGAGTACCAGGGACCAGAAAAAGCAGCCTCTCTCTTCCTGCCCCTCTCCCTGGCTTTCTGGCCAACCTGGAAACTGCCACTTTGGGACCCTCTGTCCCCCTGTTCTGCCCAGAGATGCATAGGGAGAGAATCAGGGCCCAGGCCCAGCCCTAGTCCTATCCAGGGGTCAGCCAGATTGGGGGTGGGGGGAGTGGACGAGGGGCAGGAAGAGAAGGGAAGGCAATGGAAATGCACAGAGCACCCACTCTGCCAAGACTGCATATGTGTTAGTTCACGTCACATCAGCACCTGACGAAGGTAGAATCGTGCCTATCTCATGAATTGGGAAGCTGAGGCACAGAGGGTAAGCCACCTCTGGAAGATTCAAATCCTAAAGCCTGGGCCTTTTCCCACTGTACTAACAGACCTCTGGCCCTGGAAGTCTTGAGTTGCTAGATGATCAGACACGAGTCAGAACCTGAATGTAGAATTTGTCTCCTAGGTAGATGTGCCAGACAGTCCCACCCATACCTTCACGTACACATCCCCTACCAGGGTCACACTCTCCATTTACCCAAAGTCTCTCATCTCTCAAGCGCCAGTTAAGTGCAAACCTTCCCTCTTCCAGGAAGCCTTTTCTGACCACCCAGGCCACAAGAGCTTCTTCCTCTCAACATTGAGACATTTCCCTTCATTCCACCCAATACACGGTGCCCACATGATGATGATAATGATGACGATGATGATGATGATGACAGTGAATGTCACTGAGCACTTCAGAATATGCAGAGCACTTTTACGCATGATCTCATCTATCCCCAAATCTAATGAGATTTTACAAATCTTCATTTTACAAATGAAGGAACTAAGCTCAGAACTAAGCTCAGAGAGGGTAGGCAACTTGCTCTAAGACACACAGCCAGATGGTGGCACTGCCAGGATTTGAACCCAAGTAATGTGACTGCACAGCCTGCCCTCTAAACATCACGCAAGACCCCTCCCAAGACACATACATCTTGGCTCATCTTGAATGGTTGCTCTCTTGCATCACCCTAACCCCCCTTGTACCCCAGCATCACAGGCCAGGCACTTGGCCCATGCTTCAAGCAGCAGCACAAAGCCCATCAGTTCTTCAAGAGTCAGGCCCATGGTTTTTTAGCTTCTGACCACAGAGCTCAGCACTTGCCCAGGCTGAATGAATGGGCATGTGCATCAGGTTTTAGGGTGGGCTGGTGTTCCGATATCCTACGTGGAGACAGGAGTCCTCATTCCCCAACCCTCAAGATTGGCTTCCCCCCGCCTCTGAGAAATGAAGCCATGCATGACACGGGGGCCACGTCTGCAAAGTCTGTCCCTAACACACCCTCAGCAGGGTGTACTTGAGCTTTGGAGTGGATGACAAGGGTGGGGGACCACGGGCCCTTACTCACACATGCCCAGGCTGCCTCTGCCAGTGGGGCCCTTCTCTACCTCCTGGGCCCTGCTTGGCATCTGGGGTTCTCAGTCTCTGAGGCAGGAGACGCTTATGGAGCAGGAAAAAGGGACCAAGTTCCCAGAGGGTGATTTACGGCTTCGGTGAGAGAGACACCCAGGGCCGCATAATGCATGCAAGGGCATTCCAGTCAATATATTGACTTTCTGGAGAGGCCTCTGTAAACACAAGTGGTTCTGGGCCTCGGCTACCTCTGTTTCTTTCTGACTGCTGGGGCCTCTTCAGATAGAACCAGATGAAAACCCCACATCCTGTATGGATCATCCTTCCACCTCTGCCCCACTCCAGACTTACAGATAGGAAGGGAAACCAAACAATCAGAACGCAGAGAGGGAAAGGCATTTGCCCAAGGTCTCACAGCAAATGAAGATCAAGAGCCAGAGTCTCCTAACTCCTCGGCCAGGAGTGGCTGAGACTCCTGGCCCTGACCTCCCAGCTTTCACTCCCGTTGAGGAAGATGATGATGCATCGCTGGGCTCTCTCTGGGGCAGGCTGCGTGCCAACAGGCCCTAAGTGCTTGCTGTGTGCCGGGCACTGTGTTAAGGGCTTTTCCATACATCAGCTCATGAGACTCTCAAGGCAATTCTGAGGATGATGTTATTACCCCCATTTTACAGATGAGAAAATGGAGGTACAGTCCAGTTAGGTGAGCTGCCCAACGTCACCACGTAGTCAATGACAATGCTGGGAGGCCATGTTAACCCCTCAGAATTCCAATTGGCAATGCCATGCACTCTTCTGCACCTGCAGCTAAGGCCCCGGTGAGAGGTGTGTGTGGAAACAGAGCAGCTGGGGGTTCCCAGAGGTGGTGATGACAAAGGATCTCCCCACCCCTACCCCTGGCAAATGGCTCACAGAAGTGCTAGGCAGAGGATTCCACCGTTCCCCTTCTTACCCACTTTGTGTTCTCTGGTGGGGGAAGGGCAAAGGTAGAGAAATACCTCCCCAAGTCTCCACCCCCAATATGATCCCTGCCAGTGCTTAGAAAGTATTTTCTGGGCTCGTTTCACCTTTGGGAGCCACACAGAGAGATCCAAGAAGAAGGCAGCCTTTTGCCTCCAGGCCCTGCCACAGTCCTAGCCCACAGAGTCAGAAGCAGCTGAGAGGACTCGTGACCCAAGCACACACGTTCAGTTGAACCTGGGATGCTGGGAGGTGGAATGGGCTAGAGGGTCTGTTCCCCAAGACTGGTGTTCACCCCAGGATGGTAAACACCGCAGATGCTAACAGGGGCAAATTTCCCAAGAGTAGGGAGAGGTCGGCTGGCACCCCTGCCCACATGCCCAGCTGGCTAGCCCCCCATCCCATCCTCTCTTCAGGACATGCTCTCAGAAGGACCGGAAAAGGACAGAGTAAAGGTCTGGCACTCATCACCCGCCCCAGGAAGCCCCATGCCTTACAACTTTGGCTCTGCTATGCTCTCCCTTGCATATCATCTGTCACTCTCACATGGCATCCGCAATGCTCTGAATGCCACTTAACATTTCTAAAGTGGACATCAGCATCCCTTACAGACAGCACCTCCTCGAGGGCTGTGACCAGTTCTGACCTTGTGATGGTTCATACTGAGTGTCAACTTGACTGGATGGAAGGATATAGAATATTGATCCTGGGTGTGTCTGTGAGGGTGCTGCCAAAGGAGATTAGCATTTGAGTCAGTGGGCTGGGGAAGGCAGACCCACCCTTAATCTGGGTGGGCACCATCTAATCCGCTGCCAGCAGGGCTAGAATATAAGCAGGCAGAAAAATGTGAAAAGAGAGACTGGCTTAGCCTCCTAGCCTACATCTTTCTCCCGTGCTGGATGCTTCCTGCCCTCGAACATCAGACTCGAAGTTCTTCGGTTTTGGAACTCAGTCTGGCTCTCCTTGCTCCTCAGCCAGCAGACGGCCTATTGTGGGATGTTGTGATCTTGTGAGTTAATACTTAATAAACTCTCCTTTATATATATATTAGTTCTGTCCCTCTAGAGAACCCTGACTAATACAAACCTGGGTCCCAGTCCTGCCTCTTCAGCCTCCTAAGTGAAAGCCTCCACCTCCTCGGTGGGTTCTTATAAGGACAAAGTGAGATTGCACATATAAAAGAGTTTTGTAAACTGTAAAGCAACATGCACACCAGGGTCGGGGGAGGGACTGTGATTTTCCTGTAGGCTTCCCTGCTCCGGAACAGTCCATCTTATCCTAGAGTTGAAGTGATGGAAGTCCTTCCTGTGGACAGCCCTGGGAAAGCAGGGAAGCGCTTCTGTGACCAAGAAAGTGGTAAGGACAGTGGAGTCCAGCATGTGTGTGGGTGTGTCTGTCCTCTTTCAATTGCCACCACTGAGAGTTCCAGGCCCCAGCCACGTCAGCCTAAGATGGGGTCCTCCACTGGGGATCCCACCCACTCAAGCTCTGCTGGCCCCTTCTCCAGCAAACTCTAGAGGCGAACTCACTCCCCTTGGGGGAGACAGGCTGAAGCATAAGCTGACCCAGGTCAGAGAGCAGATCTCCAAACCGCAGCTGCTCCCATGCTCTGGGGAAGCTGGGAGTCAACTGCAGGAGACTCCAGGTCTGGGACCCTGGTCTTCCGGGGGGCAGTAGCCCAAGCTGCTGGGCTGGCTTAGGGTCCATCTCTGCCAACTTTCCTCCCCCTGGAGCACTAGGACCCACCTTCATGCAAGCCTGTCCCATCCACACTCAGCAGGGGAAGCTGTCCTCTGCCCTTCCAACAGCAGAGCCAGGCCAAACCCTGCTCACAGTGCAGGTGCGGGGCAAAATGAGGTCTCTTAAGTGCTGACGGGCAAGTGGCCTGTGTCCCATCCCGAAGTGGAATCCCCAATAGAATACAATGGATGGAGCTTCCCATGCCTGGCGGTGACTCACTGTCTCCACATTACACATACCTATTTATACACAAACACACCACAAGTGTGCCCATGTGACATTGCCCACTCCCCACATACCCAAACACACACACAGTCTATACACCACACATCCTGAGTTACAAAAGGCACAGCCCTCCTCAAACACGCATCCATCCTGTAGCACACACCCAGTGCATGGCTCGCCCCCACACACACCTGACACCCCAATGCAACACCACACCCACCCTCCCCTCCAACTGCAAACTCCCACCTCCGCCCACCTGCTTAATACACGTTCTCACCCCCCCACACACTCCTTAATACATACTCTCACACCCACAAGCCTGCCTTCTTGGAGAAGCGAGCCAAGCCGTGCGGCGCCGCGAAGGGGTAAGTTGGAAGCGCTGGGGGCAGCCTGTTCTGGGAGGTGAGAAGGAGGGCGGCTCCGCGCACTCACTCGCTAGGCGGTGGTGTTAGAGCTCCCGGGGCTCCAGCGGACCGATTTAGCTCGGCTGGGGAGGGAGGTGGAGATGGGGACTGGGGGTGGGGGGCGCAGGAGAAGGTAGAATCCAGCCCCCCAAGCGGCGGAGATGCTAATCAGGCCGCTTAGTTGGAAAAGGTAAATTCGGGCGCTCGCAGCAGCCCAGCGCTTTTTGGAGAGAAGGAAGAGGAAACAAAAGGGGTGGGGGTGGGGAAGCGGGGAGACGGCTGATTTATGCCGGCACTTCAGCAAATATTTTCGCTGCGATTAGCATCCCCGAAGACCAGGAGGAACGCCACGGGGACCTGTGGCTTAGCGCGCTCCGCCCGGGCTTGTCTGCCCGCGGGGGCGCAGCGGCTGCGGCGGTTCCGGCCGGAGTTACAATCCAGCGCCACCCAACTCCCAGTCGGGGGCCGAGGCCAGCGCCGGGATGCATGGAGCCGGGGGAAAAGCCCGCGGCGGCCCCGGCGGATCACAGACCCTAACGGGGCGGGAGGTGGCGCCCCAGCCCCAACCTCTGTAGCCAACCCAGTGGGTGGGAAGTGCCCATACCCCAGGCCTTCCGGAAAGTGCTCTCTCCTTGTATTATTCTAATTACGGTATTTTTAATTTCCTTAAAAAAATAAGAAACAGAAAAGCACAGAACGCACTTGTTTGGTTTCATTTTGCCTTCACAGCTTTAATGACTCTATTTGTGGAAGCTGTTTAGGAAACTGGTGAGGAGGAGAAGGAGGAGGACGCCAGAGAAGCGCCAGCTCTGGCCTGAGCGCCGGCTTTCTCTTCCCTACCCTCTGGGGGCCATCTGCCCAGGCAGCAGTTTCCATGGGCCCAGGCTCCCACCCCCAAGTCCCAGCCTATGACCCAGCCTCCTCTGCCCTTTCCTGAAGGCGGCAGTGGCCTCCAAGCTGTCTGCTTTCCACCCAACCCCAACTCTGAGGGTCAAAAGACCTCCTGCCTGTGGGCCCTGGGGGAGGGAGGTTCCCAGCACTGTCTATTCAGAATCACTCACCTTGTCTGAGAGCTCTTGGAATGGAAAGGATCCACCTCCCCCCAGCCCATCCCCAAAATCTTAGGCAGTCCACAAACCTCCTTAGAAAACCTCCGTGGCTCAGGGAATCAGGAGGAGGAGGCAGGCCTCATCTTAAGCCTGACACCCAGGAAAAGGGTCACAAGACCTTTGGTCCAGGAGAAACTCAACAACAAAGAGAGGTGGGGGAGGACAGGACACTGGCTCCCAAAGCTTTGAATATAAGTAAAAGGTAAAAACATATTCTGTCCCCAACTGTACAAATGGGTGCAGAGCTCTAAAATGCTAATGTTTATTTGGCCATGCAGCCCAAGGGAGCTTGACTTGGGACCTGTCTCCCTTCCCCAGGTCAGGGCAGTTGCTCAGGAGGCCAATGCTGGGGGTTGGGGACAGCCACCTCTGGGCACTTGCCTGGTGGCAGACCTTCGGCTCTGCCCTGTTCCCCTCTCCTGGAACACCTCTCCACCCTCCCAACTCTCAACCTCTTTCCTCCATTCTGCCATGAGTTCCAGTCTAAAGCAGCCATCGAAGCAATATTATCTTTAGCTGCCTGCCTTAAGTGGTGCCTCAATTTCAGAGTCTCAAGCCCACACCCATGATGGTGGGTCTCCAGTCCAGGTGGGATGAAGGAGCTAGAAGCACTAGACTGAGGTTGTGAGGCCTCAGTTCAAGTCCTGGTGCTACCGGTGAGTCCCAATGTGACCTTGGGCAAGTTGGCCTGTACCAAAGTGTCAACAGTTAAATAAGTGGATTGGAAAAGAGGGGAACTGTTTTATCCTACAGAATTCCCTGTTTGCGGGGGAGGGGAGAGAGGTGGAGAGAGATTACAGGAGAAATTGCTCCCCTGCAGTGGTACTTTCACTTTAATGAGAAAACCCATTAAGACACTTGATTTTCCATTTGTTTAAGTGAGATGGGTGTTTGCTACAGTGAGTGCAGAGGGAGACGAGGACAGGCTACCATTGTGTGTGCTCAAGTGCGTGCACACGAGCACACACATGCACACACACACACCAAGCAGACACTACAAAAACTCTGATTTTAATTGCACCTTAAAAAGAAGTATTATCTTGATACCTCAACTCCTTCTCAACCATCCCAGCCAGAGGCCATGGAAAGGCTCATTAAAAGCTCCAGGAAGGACTGAAAGGTGGGGTGGGAGGAGATTTCCAGGGCCAACCAGAGCTTTTGAAGTGGCCTTTTTTCTGGCTAGTCACTTGCTGAATCACCTTCTAAGGGTCTGGGGCTTTATGGTTCCAGTTTTGATTTCTCCACCATCAGACTTTACAGCTTAAAAAAATTCTCAGTGCTGTAAAGGGAGCTCATTCCCATATTCACCAGGGATGGGGTCAGGGTGGGGAAAAGGAGAGAGAGGTGCCTGCCACTTGAGGGGAGCTTGGACACCCCTAGTAAAGATCCATCTCTGCAGGGAGAGCCTCACCTGCCTCAGTTTGTTATGAGGCTCATGGCAGAGGGGTGGGTGGATAAGAATGGGAGGGAGGGTCTGCTGGGCTTGAATCAGCCTGGCTATTGGACAAGAGCCCTTTACACAAGTCTTCAATCTGTGGCCAAGTGAAGGCAAGATTTGGAGAAAGCCAACACTCTGGCCTTGATTTTCCCCATCAGTGAAATGGGGCTTGTGAAAGATCCACTGGAAAAACCCAAAGAACATTCTGAAAGAATGATGCTCTGTGCCTGTGGCATTAGAGAAAAAAGATTGTGTGGGAGGAAGGGACATGTTCTCCCTCCTGAAGGCAGGTTTCTAAGGGCCACACATTCTGGGCAATGAGAAGGCTGCAGGCAGACCCCACCAGTTGGCCCCTCTCCAGGCTGGTGGGCAGGCAGCTCCTGCCGCGCTAAGTAATGAGCACAATTCCAACACTGCTTCTGCTCGCTGGTGAGAAATCAAAGCCGGGTATTAGAGGCCATTTCTGACTGGGCACCATTCGTGCCCAAATCCATCAAAGCCCTGGGCCTGGGGTTTCTTCTGGGGAAGGTGGGGGCTGGATGCTTTGTTAAGCAGGAAATGCAGGCCACCCCCAGCCTTCCTGGCTAAGCCCACCCACCCAGAGAACTATAGGCCAACCAGTCTTGTCTTTCTCCTACTGCAGCCTCTCATTCCTGGTAACCTAAGTATTTATTCCTGATCCCACTGTCCTGCTGGTACAAAAGCAGCTTCCCAAGACACAACCCTGCCCATGTGCCATTTACAAAGACTTCACCCTACCCTTCAATCATCTGCTCAACCCCACTTCAACCAGAAACCAGCACCCCAACCAAGCACCTCCCACGTCTAACTGCACCCTTTAAAACAAGGTTGGACATTCAGCAGCCTGCCTTCCCCCATCCCCATCATTACCTTCCAACTTCAAAACACTGCTTTAAATACCAGAGTCTGCCCAAATCATAATTAAGTTGGATCAAATGGTTGAGTGTTGTAACTCTACTGCACAGGACTTGCACCAGGAAAAAAAAAAAAAAAGTGGGGAATGTGCTAAAGCCAAGCTCTCACTCCTGGCCGTGGGAATCACTAATTCCAGAATGAGGAATCTTTGGCTATGGAGGGGGGAAGGGCGGATGTCAACATCGCAGCAGGAGGTAGGAGGTGGGGAGGGCTGCGTCATCTCGTCCACTTTCTGCTCCAGTTTTCCTGCTCCATTCTCAGCCTCAACTCAGAGAGGACTCCGTGCAGGAGTCCCCGTCCCCACCCGGCTCCGGAGCCGAGGCGCCCGGCGGCCGTGGCTAGCCCACTTGCTTGGGTTCAGGTACCAGAGAGAGGCTGGCTCCAGTCAGTCCACAGCCTCCCCGGGAAAACGCAGCCCAGCCAGCGACGCCGGGTTCAGTTACAGGACGAGCGAGAAACGTATTCATCCACGGCGAGAGAGGCGGATTAGGGACTTTATTTCAGGAGCCCACCAGTCCGCTGAAGTCATCTTTGTGGGTCCAGAGCGGGCGCTGTACCAAGGAGAGCGCACCTAGTCTGTTCCCTGGACAGCGAGAATGTCAGTGACCCATTTAAAAGGAAACTCCGCAGGATCCCTAGGAACCCCCGCCCGCATCCAACTCACACACGCGCGCACACACACACACACACACACACACACACACACACACACCCCAACATTCAGAAAAAAAAAAAAAAAATCCAGACCTGCGGGCCCAGCGATCTCGGGGAAAGCTATGTGTGCAGGACCTAGCCCTCCCCGCGTCAGGAGCCCTGCAAGCCAGCCTCCCCCGGCTGCCGGAGCCCTTCCCGTGTTCAGCAGGTCTTTCGCTCTCTCCCTCTGGTCTGCGGATTCGTGTCCCTAGAGCGTGTAAGAGCCTAGGCGAGCCGGGACCAGACTAGTAAGTTACCGGCGTAAGGCAGCGAGCGCACACCTTGCTTATGTAGCCACAGATTTTTTTCGGGGCAGACGCCAGGCGCGCGGAGAGCCGGGGGTCCCCAAGAGGCGGATCCTCCCGGAGACTCAGACCCTGACTCCGACACCCCTTCCAGGGAGAAGAAGGGATCCCTTTCAGGAGCGAGCAGGGAGCTTTCAGTTTACTGTGAACCCCCTTCCCTGCGCCCCCCTCCCGCTATGTGGATGCGCCATTGCCCACTTTGGGAGGCAGTAAATTCTACATTCTAACTTGGGCGCCCTTGCCGCTTTCCCTGCGCGCATCGATGCGACGAAAGACCACCTCAACTTCAGGGTAGAGTGAGGCGCAAGGGTCCCCTAGCCCCGTGCCCCCAGGCCCGATCGCTTCCTACCTGCTTGGCTCAGCCTCGGGTCCCAGCAGAGCAGCAGTGCCAGCAGCAGCGCGTCCCGAGCTCCGCTCCGGGTCCACATGCTCCCGCGGCCCGGTTCGGGCGCCTCTCCCCCGGGGCTGTCTCCCTGGCCCCAGCCTCGCCGCCGCCGTCTTCGCCGCCGCCGCCGCCTCCTCGCCGTCCTCCCCGGCGCCCGGCCGCGCCAGCCCGTGCCTTCCGTGGGGGCAGCGGCAGCCACGCTGCGCGGAGGGCCCCCTGGCACTCGGAGCGCGGTGGGTGCCTGGCGCCGGCTCTCGAACCAGGCTCCGGCGCGCCCCTCTGGCTCCGGGTCTCCGAGCGCTCGCCTAGCTCCGGCGCTGTGGCTCCGAAGTTGCGCGACCGCTCAGTGGCGCTCGCAGCGGCGGCGCCGCGCAGTCCCAGCCCTTGTGCGCGCCTCTCGGAGCCCCGCGGCTGCCTGCGGCTCCGGCGCCCCAGCCGGCCCCAGCCGCCTGCCACAATGCTGAGCGCCGCCGCTCGCTCGCAGGAGTGAGTTCGTCAGCCGAGGGGACCGCGAGCGGCCGGGCGGGGCCTGGCCGGCAGAGGGCGGAGTCGGCAGGGGGGCCTTGAGGGGGAACCCGACGGCCATCTGGGCGCGGCCGCGACAGAGCTGGGGTACCCTGGGGGAGGTTCCTCTCGAGACACTGGGCGGGCGCAGAGCTTTGAAAAACCCGGCCGCTGAAGAATGACTGGACGTGGAGGCGGCCCAATTTTCGCTTGCCCAAATTAAGGAAATCTGGCTTTGAGCCTTCATTTGGCTTGGCCATGTCAGCTTTCTCCTCTGATTGAATGTAGGACTCTCACTTTTGACTCTCCTGTCTGTAGTATGCGCTCTGCCTTCCACATGTGGGGATCTTTCCAAAAAAAGCTCCCAAAATGAGAACACCCAAGTCCTGGTTACGCTGGGGCTTACAGCAATGTGAAGCTGGGTATAGATTAGGATCGTCCTGGCTGGCTCTGCTTGTCTGTATGATCTTCGGCAGAACTGTTAACCAGACCCCTGGAAACCCTCCAGCACTCTGATCCTGGGTTGCTGTAAACCAGCATCCTACGTGACAGTGGGACAGCCATTTTTGCCTCAGTGTAAACTTGGACTCTGCCCCTTACTTGCTGTGTGACCTTGAACAAGTTACTTAACAATTCGGATGCTGCCTTCATCATCATCTGTAAAATGGAGGAAAAGGATAACTATTTCATAAGGGGGTATATAATTAAATGTTTAAAATTGTGTGGAAATTGCAGTGCAATATCAATAATCTCTTTCCAAGATTCTCCCCTCCCAGCCAGTCTGATTCCAGGGGGAAAGTCCTAACCAGCCAAGGGTGGTCCGAGGAGCACGTGGGGACAGGTGAGGTCTGAAGGATGGGCAGTGTCTTGGGATTGAAACCCAGAGAGGTCAGAATAAGGGGATCAGCTAACATAGGCAAAGACCTTCCCTGTGCCAGGCACAGGGCTAAGCACTCTGTATGCATCATGTCAGTTAATTCTCACAATCCTCTGAAGTAAGCACCATTTACATGCCATTTTACAGATGAGGACTTTGCACAGAGGTGTAAAGCCACCTGCCAGAGATCACACTGCTTGGAGCGAATGAGTGACTGAGCAAAGGGGACAGGGGAGATGGGATTGGAAAGAAACCCTTTAAACGGGGGAGCCTCCCTCGAACACCTTCCCTGGGGATGGATTGGGCTGTGCGAAGGGGACTGTCCTAGCTGTTTCCCCAGAGGTGAGGGGAAGGCAGGGCTACCCAGTACCCTCTCCACACACACTCCCCTCACAAGTCCGGGTCTGGAGTATCTGGGGGAGGTCGTGCATGCCATCAGCACATCTCCCTAACTGGGCACCCAGCATCAGGAGGGTGGCAACGGGTGGACCTGGACTCCCTGGGGGAAGGACTTCCGTCATTGAGAAAGGCTGCTGTGGGGCAAAGGTAGGTTGCTTAGCTTGGCCTCTGACAGCCCAGGCAAGGGCAGTGGATGACAGTCAACAGCTCAGCACAGCCAAACAACTCCACCTTGCAAATACACATGCACAAACACACCTACCCACCCATACACACCTGCAAAGGTACACACATGAAAACATACGACAAAGACACAGGTGCGATGTTTCACCTTCCAGAAACATCACACCTACAAATAGGCACCTCACTCCAAAGACACCCACATACCAAAGATGTATGCCTAAAAAAAGCAAACACACAGGCGCACACAGCTAAAAACATGAATAGGCAGATGACTGCCAAGACAAATAGATATTTAGATACTTAACTACTGCCAGGAAACACATACAGGCACGCCTGTACCAAGACCCACATCTGTCATCCCCTGGATGCAGGCACATGGTCAAGGTTGTGCCTATACTGGAGAGCTCAGCAGGGACCTCAGCAGAGAGGGGCGGCATGCAGAGACCACAGCATGTTCTCTCTCTCTCTCCTTCAGGCCTGTGGGGTATTGGAGATTTTTCTAAAAAGTTCCAGTCTTTGGAACTTTGCTGTTTAGGTGGTAAAGTGTACCCAGCAGGCCTTTCTAGTCCAAGTATCAGGTTTCATGTCTTTGTTTAATTCCTGGCTGCAGAGAAGGGAGACTGAGGATAGGGGGCAAGCAAAAGGAGGGCATTACCCCCTCTCCTGCCAGTCCCTGCCCCACTTCCCTTCTCAGCCTAACCACTCTCTCAATTCTTGAAATACACTCATGGGAGGTCCTGGGCCCTGCTCTCCCTCCAGGACTCCAGCATCAGGGCAGGGGACTTTGCATGTTGGGAATCTCTCTGTAACTGCTCTGTGCCCCTGCTCCTGTACCAAGTCTCTGACCCTTCTCCAGCCACCTGCAGCTGAGCGGTTGCAGATGTGGTTCCTCTCCAGCCCTGGCATCTCGAGAATGCAGGCTCTCAGCTGAGGCCAGGGTGGGGGCTTCAGAGGGAGTCAGACTCCCCCTGAGCCATAACTTTCCCTGGGATGGGTGAAGAATGTGCAGGGTCCCTGCCCATGGGATGACACATTAAGATAGCAGGATTAAGATTTGCTAGGGTGTTCCCAAACCCAGTGCCATGGGCCTCACAGCAAAGGCGTCCTGCTAGGGTTAAGCATGAGGATGAGGTAGTGAGTTGCTTGAAGTCAGGGGCCCTGTGTTCCCTGTTCCCCACGATATGTCTAGCACTGAAGACAGTTTCTGGCATAGCAGGGAGGCAAGCAACGTTGGTTGAGTGGGTACATTAATAAGGCTGGGGAGAAAGGGGTTGATGGTCAAAGGGCCTACAGAGTTGCTATGTGAGACCCACTTTCCCTGGGTCTGGGGGTTCTGAGGCTGGAAGTGGAGCAGGCTTTGTGGCATAGATCTGCTTTGAAATCAGTCCCAGAGCCAGTTCTGACCCTTAGTGGGGACTGCAGATGCTTCCACCGGCTACCCTCACTTCTCTCAAACCACAGGAGTGTGTAGGAAAGAGTTCTGGATCTGGACAGCTGTGGCCCTAGACCTGGGGGCTGTTCTTACCTGCTGGGGGATCTTAAGCCAGTTACTGAAACTTTCCAAGCATCAGTTTCCTCAATTGTAAAACAGGAATAATGACTACCTCACAGGATTAAGAATAATAAGGCCAATAATCTGACTGTATAAAAACTCACTATTTGATAACAATTACGATTTAAAAGCAGCTGTAGGGGCTCCTGGCAGGAGTAGCTGGCGGCTTGGGGTTGACGCCTCCCGCTCCTCCGGGACCGTGTGCGCGAAGGTGCCACCAGGCGGCGCGCTGCCGCTTACGCTTCCCAGTGGCCGCCAGTCTTCCTCCTCCGGCAGTGAGAGAATTGTCTTGGCCCCATCCCACCTGGAGCCGCCCCGACAGGGTCCTTGCCCCGGGTCGTCAGGGTAGAGGGCTCTCAGACGACTCCGTTTGCAGGATCTTGAGTGGGAAGGCTTGGGAATGAGTTCACGATGTCTTCCTTGAGTCGTTCGGTCCAGAACGGACCCCAAAAACCTGGACCCTGGAGAAGGGAAGCGCCTAAGCCTGAAGTCCTTAATGCTTTACCATCTCTTTGTAATAATATTATCAGAGCTAAGGTTGAGTGCTTGCTATGTGCCAGGTAGGATTCTAAATCTCTTAGGCTGGGCGCGGTGGCTCACGCCTGTAATCCCAGAATTTTGGGAGGCGGAGGCGGGCGGCTCACTTGAGGTCAGGAGTTCAAGACCAACCTGGCCAACATGGGGAAACCCCATCTCTACTAGCAATACAATAATTAACCGGGCATGGTGTCGCACTCTGTAATCCCAGCTACTCGGGAGGCTGAGGCACGAGAATCACTTGAACCCAGAAGGCGGAGGTTGCAGTGAGCCGAGATTGTGCCACTGCACTCCAGCCTGGGCGACAGAGTGATGCTTTTATTTATCAAAAAAATAAATAAAAAGTACCATTTTAAACATTTTAAAGTGCACAATCCAGTGGTTTTTAGTATATTCCCAATGCTTTGCAGCCATCACCCCTACCTAATTGGAGAACATTTTTATCACCTCCAAAAGAAACCCCATACCATTAACCCTATTCTTCTCTCCCCAGCCCCTGGCACCCACTAATCTACTTTCTGTATGAATTTGCCTTTTCTGGACATTTCATATAAATGGAATCATACTGTACGTGGCCTGGGTCTTTAAACTTGGACTCTTAACCTCTGCTAAGTACTGTAACAACCTTCTTCTTCCATCCAGCTTCCCCAGTCTTCTCCGCCAACCCCTCCTAGGTCTTCTCACCACTCTTCAGGCAGTGTAAGCAGTTAGCCACAAAAGCCTTGGGCTCAGGCAGATCCGGATTCAAATCTCAATTCTGTTTTGGACATTAATGAATAAATAAGTTATATTTATTGCCTCTGCTGCCACCTTCTCAAAATTCTTTTATTGTGAATTTTTAAAAGGCCATCTTTTCATTTTAGAAGTTTTAGTTTTACAGAAAAATTGCAAATATAGTAGAGAAAGTTCCCATATGCCCCTCAACCAGTCTCCTTAATTATTAACATCTTATATTAGCATGGTACCTTTACTACAATTAATGAACCATTGATACATTATTATGTGCTAAAGTTCATTCAGATCTCCTTAGTTTTTACCTAATGTCCTTCTGTTTTCTGTTCCTGGATCCCATTCAGGATCCCACATGGCATACAGTCATTGTGACTCCTCAGGCTCCTCTTGGCTGTGACAGTTTCTCAGTCTTTCCTTGTTTTTGATGACCTTGACATTTTTGAGGATTATTCGTTGGGTCTTTTGTAGAATGTCCCTCAATTAGGATTTATGCATTTCATAATTCTTAATAATTTGGAACAAGGGACCCTGATTTCCACTTTACACTGGGCCCTGGAGATTATGTATCCAGTCCTGCTTATGCTTTGTGGGGCAGAGAAAAAGCAGGCTGAGCCAGAGCTGGCACATGCAGCAGGCTGTGGCTAGCATGCCCTGGCATTGCCGGGCGGTAGGGTGGCAATGGGGGTTGGGGGGAGCTCAGTGCCCTGAAT